GGCTGAATGTTACTAAGTAACGTAAATAATTCTTCGGATTCGTCTCAAATTATTGTTTTCCTAGTATAATGTAAAATCCCCTCAGTGTTGTAACCATTTCGCTGGGAACAATTTTACCCGACAGGTGAAAACGTCAAGGATGAACGACGTGTATAGTTTCAGAAAACAGGCCTTTCTGTTGCTTAACAACTCTTGGGTACTGTAAGCTGTAGAGGCTTTACTCTTTCTCGATTATTTTGCCCTTCGAGTATTGTTCTGATCAAAATCGTTACGAAACTGAGATGTATTGGCGAAAATCGACATGTTCGCCTGTAGTTTTCGCCCATACGTTTCAGTTTTTGAACTAGCGAGGAGTTTAAGGCTGGTATTTATAGACAAGAAATCGCGCTTTTAGTAAGACAGTGACAGAACTTGTTACTAAAATTACCATCTGAAACAGCTAAAATATGCCAGGTTAATTAAAAATAAAGTAAAGATTAAACTAATGTCCTATCAAATCGAAAGTTAAAAATTAATTAAACATTTTTAATACGAAATCTGTTCAGAAAATAACCGAACTTTTTGAATTACGCGCGATATTTAGTGATTGGCAGCATTGTGCTGCCATAACCTCCTCTGCAACCACATGTTGATATCTCATTTAGTTCTCGTGTAATCGTTATTTGAGTGTAACCTGTTTAAGTGTTACTGATAATTTTTGAAATGTGCGATTTTCTGGAACAACGTAAAACTTTGCGTAAAATTAGGAAAAACTTTCTTTCGCGGAAACGTTTCAGTTTTTGAAAAAAGCTTGCGGATGGTTTTCACGAAAGTGGTCGTCAGTCAATTGAAGATGATTTTCGACCAGGAAGACTTTCGACTTAAAACGAATAACACCCTCACGATTAGAAAGTCAAAGATTTGGCGCGTGCAAATTGCAGATTGCCTGACAGAGAAATTGCAGAAGAAATCAGCATCTCAATTCGGTCATGCCGTGAAATTATGATTGAAAAATTGAACATGCATCAGATTGTAGCAAAATTTATTCCTCGTTTGATGACCGAACAAAAAGAAAATCGTGTGGACATATGTCGGCAACTCCTTGAACATTCCAATGACGATGAAACATTCATTTGAAGGATCACAATGGATTGACAAAGGATCTCCACGCTCCAAGAAAGCACGTCAGTCTCGATCCAGCGCCAAAGTGATGCTCACTGTTTTTTAATGAAATTGTACATTTTGAATTCTTGCCTCAAGGTAAAACAGTGAATCGTGTGCACTAACAAAGCGTTTTATAACGGTTACGTGAAAAAAAAAATCGTGAAAAGAGACCAGAGTTGCGCGAGACAACTCATTCTCTCACCATGCCAATACGTTAGTTTTATGCTATAAATCAAATTATATCCTCCGTCACCCTCCTCACTCGCCAGATCTGACTCCTTTCGATTTTTTCTTATTTCCGAAATTAAGATCAGTGTGAAAGGTCTCCGTTTTCAGACTATTGATGACATCAAAGCATATTCGTCACAAACTTCAAATGCCATTTCAAATTCATATCCAGGAAACACCGCTGGGAAAAGTGTATGGACAGGGGAGCGTTTAAAAAAATAAAGGTCGGTTATTTTCTGAACAGACATCGCATGCTCGTATGTCACTTTCTGTAAAAGTGCTTTTATGTTAGAAAATACATTTTTGACACTCGTATCGTTTTTACATCGATGTGTGTTTTTCTGATTGTATATTCTGATCCAAAGGGACTTTTTACGTGTTACTGTATTTTTATCTCAATTAATGTATTAATAAAAAAGAAGTAAACCCAAGTAAAAGACTAATTATGGATCAACGTGTACAGGAAACAGGAACGTTATAGTACAGTAAGTACTATGATGAAGACTTCCGTAGATACTTATGAAAGAAATATGCAACAAGAAATTATAATTATTGTCAGTACTAGTTATTTTTTTATACTCGATGGTTAGGTACTATAAATTAATCTTATTTAAAAAACTAAGGAGTAGGCCTAATATATCTATAATTTATATTTTTTACTTTCAGAAACGAGTTTTTTAAAATTCTTACTTGATCAAAACATGTTTTTGCTGTTTATAAACAGTTAGCATTAACGAATTTTATTAGCATTTGAAATTGGATGCCTTTATATTCAGATACATAGATACATGATTCTTATTTTTATTATATTTTTGAATTTATTTTCTTAAAAGTTCCTCAGTAGTGCATTTTGAAGTGCATATATTTTATTTTAAGTCTAACATTAATTTTAATTTTAAAACAAAACTATTTACTTAATTCTTGCAACTTATCGGCGTTTACTTTGCATAACTGATTAATCGTTTACTAAATAAAAAAATGTATTAAAAGCAATGCGGTTTGTTTTCACGATTGCTTGATTTACACTTTTTCCGCTGCACACATTCCCGTAATCATCTCTTCAAATAAATAGGAATGTTGCTGTTTCAGTAAATCTGGTTACGTCGTTGATTCCTCATTGTACGTTACAACTATGAATTATTAGAAACACAAACGGATGGACATTTGTTTCAGTAACAGTTTAAAAATCCACTATGCCTAGCTTTATTTCGTTTGCCCCGCGGCATGATACTGGATTGACCGCATGTCCCCCTCGCGTACCGGGGCCCACATCCGTGCCTTGCGTAGCGCGGTAGCCGAACCGGTAGGTAACAGGTCACTATGTTTTTCTCTCTCCACGAGGATCGTCCTCTGTCTTCTCTTTCTAGAATCTGAATTTTATCTCACCTCTTGCTACAGTAGCGTAACCTTGGGCAGGGAAATACTCGGCGAATTCCGATATGCCATACTAATAAATTTGCGGGAGGATGATGTTATTCCACAATTTAATCATTAATGTGTAATTAGGTATCCAGGTACTCTACCGACATACGTCAACGGCTTTTTGCTTTCTTAAAAAATTGTGAGAGCTCAAATAATATTTTTTTATCTCAATAACAATAACAATTGAAATAACTTAAACTCTGCAGTCTGGTGAACGTTCAAATAGAAGTTGCTAATGTTTACAAGGTAAATTTTGAAAAACATTATTTGAGCGCGTCTTTGATAATAAACTCCGTAAAATATTAGTTGGCTAAAAAACTGTTCTAATGTTACATTTGTTACCTATTTTCCTTAATTTTTCCGACAGTACAGGTATATATATGAAATTTTTGTGTGAATGTAATTTCTCTTTGTTATCTAATAGAATTTGTGTTATTTTCAATATTCCTAAAGACTGTTTCAACAAAATTCTCAGGGTATTGATTATTTATTAGTACATTCTCTATGAATTTTAACTCATTATTAAAACTTTGGTATTTAGAGGAAATCAATTTGGCTCTATCATACAAACATTTAACTACGCCTTTTTTTATATCAGTATGATGCTTTGAATTAAAATTTAGATATATCTTAGTGTGGTTTTCTATAAACACTTGTTTGACATTCTTTAAAATACTTAAAAATATTTGTATCTCAATGAAACTTGATATGGGGAAGTTTTTGAGGTCGCCGGATGTGAATGTAAGCTATGTTTTTCTGTAAAACACAGTATTTTGTTGATACATATTTTGAGAACCATTTTTTGCTATATGACAAGATCTTATACATGCGTTTGTTATTAATATAAATTTGTTATATTTTGTATAATAATGAATAATAAATGTTTATACGTTTTCTTTCATAATTGCTATCTCCTGTATTTAAATGTTAAAAATTGATATTTTAGTAATACTTGCGTTATGTATCCAGTTAAATCTACGACACTGGTAGAGTATAATGTTTTGGGTTTGTCTCTTTTATACACAAACATATAACAGAGCGCAAACGTTATTAGTTAAGGTGTGGTTTTAAATTGTGAAAAATGTAATTTATAATTTACGTATCTATATAATTATAAATTCATACTTATTTGGTAAGAAATAGTGATGTGGTATTCGTAATATTTCAATCAGACGGAATGTATTTAAACTGTATACTGCTAAATAGTTGATATATAAATGAAAGCTATTTGTGTAGGAGGAAAATAAAAAAAAACAAATTAAAATAATAATCTAGTCCTATATTATTATAAAACCGTAAAATTTGGCAAAACATTCTTAAATATTTGGTCAATAATTTAGCAATAATTTGTTAATTTGGCTTTCAGTTGAAAGAATAAGATTGAGAAGAAAAACGGCACTTCTGCTAATCTAGGTTTTATGGTTTAGAGACTTTGCAATATATGACTCTAATCACGAATTTGGCCTACATATTCAGTACAGTAAGATAAAAAGAGTAATATTTAACTAGAATGAGAAAAATATTAAATATAATTACTTACATTATACAATATGGAGAATAAACAGTATCGAGATAACTTACATACATTATTTTCACTTGAAAAAGTAGGATGGTGTCCCAAATCGGTTAATTTAATAAATTTATTATAATAATAACAAATAACATAGTTTTTATCCAAAACTATCCAAATTTAATGCTAAATGAAAACGGAAAATAGATGGTGGTGCAGCTTATGTCGTATGTCAATGGTAATAGTAGTTTCAGGAAGATACCGTTTTGTAAATATTATAACTACCTACTAACTGTCAATGAATGAAGAATTGCTAAGAAAAATATAATTGAATTTGTTACAACAGGATATCGGTTATTGATTAGTTAGACCTAAAATGAGATTGCGTTTGGAGATATTATTCTATAAAAAAAAGTCTAAAACACAAGCAAGTAGTGCATTTCTTTCTAAAGATCAATGACCATTTTTTTAAATTTGAAAAAAAATGGCTATCACTTTAGTCTGTTAAATAAAAACATTTGCCTATCAAATAGTAATCATTTATTTCTAAGGCATGTTTATGGCGCATTTTTTGGTCATGTTATAACTCCTGTACTATCAGAAATAGACTCTTACAATAAATGTTTTAAAAATATTTACTATATTTTTTATATTTGTTTCTCTTTACAGTCATTTGATTAGTTATATTTTGTTTCAGAAGATATTTTCCAGGAATTTAAAAAACGTTCGATCTTCAAAAGCAAGAGGGACATTTATTTCCAACACTTTTCAGGAATGTGAAACAAGTAAGTGATGCCTTTGTGTAACCATATAATCTACATATTTTTAGGTTTAACCCTCAATATTCAAGATGCATTACATTGATATGCAAGTCGATAAAAGTAGTAAATTACATTTTTATTATAGCAACATAGCAACGTTTAAAATGAAATTAGAAAAATAATAATATTAGTTGCTAAATTTTAATTTTGTATTTTTAATACACACCAATAAAAATTATTAAAAAACTGCAATGTCTGAGGGATAGAGAGAAATTATTTTCTTAATTTTTGTATCTAGGAAAAAATAATAAGGTCTAAAGATATAACTTACTTATACTACTACTTTATTATAAAGGTATTAATCTATTTTTTTTCCTAAAAAATCCAAATGAAGTCAAACAAGATTTTTTAGCATTTTTTTTATTTTGATTGCTTAGATATGCAAAAGCTAATAATAGAATATATGTTCTTCAAAAGTAATTACAAACATAAAGTTTGAGGAATCTGTTTCTAGTAGTAAAGGAATACTCGCAGTTAAAATTTATTCACCCTGTATCGATGAATTGAATTTGAATAATACCCCTAGTAGCACAAGATATGGTCCCAATATTGGGGTCATTTAGTCCCAATATTTGGAAGATTTAGCCAGTATTGGTATCATATTGATAAAAGATGTATACAGTCAATATAATTCCTATAAAGGTCCAATAGCTTACAACCAGTAGATTTAAAAAATATTCTGGTAATGTCGGATAATGGGGTTTATATTTTCTATAATATATATGATTCATAACCAGTATTATATCAAAATCTGTCGCTTACAATATTTGGCCAATTGTAGAAAAAATATTTTTCTAATATGGATGAAATTGTTGAACAATTAAGTAAAATAGGAACAGGCTTTTGTCGACGGTCCTGCAATATTCTGAACATCTACTAAAACTAACAACACAAAAGTTTTTGTAGAAATGTCTATTCGAATACGTATGCTTTTGATGTCATATAGTTTTTTTTCTAACATTAAAGATTATATTTCAAAATTACATAGTCTTTTAAAGGACTGTAAAATCCTTAGGGATTATTTGGGAAAGCCGATTACTAGGCGAAAAAATGTTTGAAATGTTTATATTGTTTGAAATTATTTATTTATGGTACACATATAATTTTTTTTTCTGTGAACAAAAATATTTGAAAAAGAAACTTCAATGTAGTGTTGAAAACGAAAATAAGTATTTCGATTCTCGTAACTAAAGTGAAGTGCGTGATATAGTGGGCATATTTTTTTATTTGTTTGTTGTTTTCACAGACTTTTAAAATAACTTTTGACTAATCCTTTTGGCTCAATAGTTTACTTAATAGTGTTTTAATTTTCACTGGATCAAAATTACATCTAGAATATTTTACTTATGCGAGCAATAAATGACTTGTTACCAGAATTTTCGGTGTAAATTTTATGTGTTATTGACTTACTGATATCAAATTTTTAATCATGATTGCTATGAGATCATCACTTGCGTTCCTGTTAATGTATCTGCTTTCATGAAAACTTTATATTACTATAGGGAATTATAAACTCGACAATTTTTATTTTAAATTTAAATTTAATAATAATTTTTAAATTATTTTTAATCAATACTTTTTATATAACTTGAAATATTTGCATTCGCATTCGTATTACATTGTAAAATATTAATGTTGTCATGTAAAATTGTAATTCTACAACTTAAAATTGTAATTTTAATATGTAAAATTTTTGTTGTACACACCATTTTTACAATGGTGTTGTAAAACTATTTTGTGTTTTTTAGGTTCACACAGTAAAATTGTATTATTTAGGCCCGGTACTTTGAGTCTCGGTTAAAGCTGGATTAACTCATCAGACTGATTAGACTTTACATATACTGATTTANGTTTACTTAATAGTGTTTTAATTTTCACTGGATCAAAATTACATCTAGAATATTTTACTTATGCGAGCAATAAATGACTTGTTACCAGAATTTTCGGTGTAAATTTTATGTGTTATTGACTTACTGATATCAAATTTTTAATCATGATTGCTATGAGATCATCACTTGCGTTCCTGTTAATGTATCTGCTTTCATGAAAACTTTATATTACTATAGGGAATTATAAACTCGACAATTTTTATTTTAAATTTAAATTTAATAATAATTTTTAAATTTAATCAATACTTTTTATATAACTTGAAATATTTGCATTCGTATTCGTATTAGCGAATATCGAAGACAAGAACAAGAGAAGAGAAGACTAATAACTTGGCCATTTTTGGATCAAAGATGGGCGTTAATTGCTCTAACTATACCACAATCTATCAGTCTAACTTAATAGACTGATGTATTGTTTTTTGTAAATATTATTTTTTCTTAATCCAACGATTTACGACAACCTGATTTTCGCAAAAAGATTACTGAAAAAATACACCAAACATTAATATTAATTTGACCGCTCTAACAAAATTGTCAAGTGTGTCATGAAAACAATCAAGTCATCATAGAGATAAATGCCATTAAAGTAAGAAAACACATTATCATGACGTCACATGACAACACGTAACCGTGCCAACGATGTGTTTTTGTTTTTAAGTTTCCAATTTAAATTGTCATATATCGTTGGATTCAGAAAAGAATTCTCAATTAAAATAAGTAGAGCAACATACATATTTAAAAAATAGCAATCGCTAGGTGTTATAAGCGTTGAAAAAAATACATTCTCAGTTTGTAGAATAATTATTAGAGTCATTAAGACCAATCGTGTTTTTGGTACCAAAAATTGCGGAATATTGCGGCGTTTTATCAGGTATGTGTCACATACTGTTTTGACCAACTCTGTGCGAGTAATAAAAAACACAGTTGGGTGGGCCCTTATTGTATGACTATGGTGCTGCCTGATGTTTTTAGATCGTCTGTACGTACGGCCTCCGAAAGGTCAGTCAAAGTGTAATGTTGAGCATGTCGACGGGTAGGAGGAGGTCGGTTATAAAGTCAGTGGCCACGTTCTTACTAATAGTGCATCCTGTCGTCCAGGATCGTATTTGGAGAATCACGGCAACTGCTTATTGTAGTCAAATGTTTACTCTTATTATTATCTTTAAAAATGCATCCTAGAATGTCTTTAGAAAGTAGTTGTATTGCAAGTGTTTTAAAAGTTCTGAATTGTTGTATGAAGTAACCAAATTTGTTCCAAATCATTTTAAATGCCATTTTAATTGGAAATTTAAACGAATATATCTCCAACAATAACCAACTTAGCAATAGTGCTACTTAGTTTGAAACACCCTGTAGATGTAATGTATTTTTTATTTATTTATTTATTTATCAATACAATATCCAACGAGCGATAAAGCCCAGTTACAGGATAAGGAGAAGAAGCAAGAAGTCAGTCATCAAAATGATGTAAAACAAAAGAAACAACAAAGAAGAGTGTCAAAGATACATACATAAAAGTTAAAAAACATTAAAAAAGAAAAAATAACAGTCACTAATTAAAAACAGACAATAGACAAAACTAAAGTACAATAAAAGTCACAAAATAAAATCAGTTGCGTACATTATAAACCTGCTTAATACAACTGATGGTAGAACAGAATAAATCTAACCGTGATTCAACTTCTAGGTAGCTGGCACACATCTGATGAACAGGCGCTGCTTTGTACAAATTGGTTCGACCTTTTTTTAATTCCAAAAGATGCCTATTTCTAGCATTCACTCGAGGAACATGAAAATCTACTAGCCTCAACAAGTTCTCACATTTTATTAAATTATTGAGCAATTTAAACAAAAATATAACAGAATACATTTTTCGGCGTTCTGCGAGACTGCACATGTTGAAGCGTTCGAAAAATGCCTCCTGCGGAAAGCCCCTCGGCGGGTAGTGACCATCAAGCGCGAACACCGCTAGTTTAAAAAATCGACGTTGAACTCTTTCTAAGCATGACACATGAATAGAATAAATAGGAGTCCAAACCAAAGACGCATACTCCAGTCTAGATCTGACCAGTGCACCGTATAGCAGTTTAAAAGTGTTGGGATTCCGAAAACCCGCCATATTCCGCACGACAAAACCCAGGTTCTTGTAGGCACATTTAACTATAAAATCCATATGCTGCCTGAAAGAAAGTTTTGGATCGAAATAGACTCCTAGGTCTTTAATAACATTTGGCCGAACTAGGCTGGACCCGTGTAATCGGTAGTCATACGAAATTTGCCTCAACTGCCGACTGAAGGACATGACATTACATTTTGCCACATTAAGAGGTAATCTATTGTCAGCGCACCAGGAGTTTACCAAATCCAAATTTCTCTGCAGATTACGTGCATCACGTTCATTGGCTATGGGACAAAATATCTTCATATCATCCGCATATAATAGGAAACGCACATCCAGATCCAATGCTATATCATTAATAAAAATCGCAAACAACAAGGGCCCCAGGACAGAACCTTGTGGAACCCCTGAGGATTGAGCAAATTCCATTGACCTTTCTCCCATAATCTGGACAAACTGAGTTCTGTCAGATAAGTAAGAGGCCATGAGCTCCAACAATGAAGAACCCAACCCCGCGGAATCTAGTTTCGACAATAATAAACCGTGGTCAAGACGGTCGAAAGCCTTCGAAAAATCCGTGTACAAGACATCCACCTGACCTCCCCTATCAATCACCTCATGGATATACTGCGCCATGCACGCCAAATTGGTAACCGTGGAACGCCCTTCAACAAAACCATGCTGCTCTGGTAGGATAATATTTCTAAGGTGAAATGACAAAATATTATGTAGGGCTATTTCAAAAATTTTGCCGAAATTACATAGTATTGCAATTGGTCTATAATTTTTTATGTCATTCCTGTTATCTTTTTTATATATGGGACAGATTTTCGAAGTTTTCCAACGATCGGGAAATGTATGAGTGGACAGTATTCGGTTGAATATTATAAGAAGAGGCTTGGCAAACACAGTAGCACAATCTTTGATAAGAAAGGCAGGTATGAGATCGGGACCCA